TGAGGCTATCATTACACAAGGCCGGAGAGTAGTACAAGACACAGGGCCTTAGAACACCTGATGATCAACACACCTGATGGCAGGGCAACACGCAGGATCTTAGAGCAGGGCAAGAAATAGTACCTAAAGGTAGAGCAAGACATAAGACAGGTATGGCACAAGGCCCGAAACACCGCCCACGTCTTGTCATACCTTCGGGCCCCGAAGATATGACAAGACGTGGGCGGTGTTTCACGGACGCTGCTATCAAATTCCGCGAGCTGACGTCATACTTGTGGTAGTGTTTGAGCAATGGGCCTGTTGATGTCTCCATGGAAACCCAATTTGACACGTGTAATAGCAGCGTGCTGCTATCACCGGTGAAACAGGGCCAGGGTATGGGGCCTCAGGGCAGGGCTAGGCTCAGGGCATGAAGGCAGAACAAAGCACGGGTTCTGAGGACAGGTAAGGGCACGGGGCATGAGGACGGGAAACGGCACGGGACCTGAGGGCGGGAGACACCACAGGGCCTGATGACAGGGCAGGGCACAGCGCCTGAGAGCAGGCATGGGACACGAGACCTTAGGGCAATGCAGAATACAGGGCTTGAGGGCAGAGTAGGACACAGGGTCTGATGGCATGGGACGGCACAAGGCCTGACGACAGGGCAGAACACAGCAACTTAGGGCGAGACAGGGCACGGGCCTGAGGGCGATACAACGCATAAGGCTTAATGGCAGAATAGGGCACAGGGTCTAAGGGTAGGGCAATGCACATGAGGCCTGGAAGCAGAACATGACAGGACAGGGCCTGAGGCAGGGCAAGGCATTAGACTCGAGGATGGGCGCGGGGCCGGGGCATGAGGACATGGGAAGGCACAAGGCCTGATGGCAGGGCAGGGCACAGTACCTGAAGACAAGGCAGCGGCACGGGGTCTGATGGCAGGACGTGTCACAAGGCTTGAGGGCAGAGAAGGGCAGGGGCCCCAAACTAGGATAGGGCAGGGCACGGGGCCAAAAGACGGGAAGGCAGCGCATCAAATTTCCAGGCAGAATATATAAAGTATCGTGTTTGAGGGCAGGGCAGAGCGGGGCACAGGGCCTGAATGCAGAGCAGGGCACAGGGCCTGAAGAAAGGGCAGGGCAAGGTACAAGACCTAAGGACAGGGCACTGGGCAGGGCACATATCCTAGGGGTATAGTAGGCAAGAACATAATGTGTATGACCAAGGGTAGGGCAGGGCACAAGGACTGGAGAGGGCATGTATGTGCTTAGGTACATACCTAGTAAATCAGGGCACAAAGCAATCGGAAAGCCAACATCTTTTACACAGTAAAAGACCGAGGCATGTTACTTATTTTTGCTCGCACTTTTCGGCTGAAACCGTGGCATTTCAGTGTGGGACGCAGTGGTCCAAATTTCGCGAGGGCTACGTCCCAAAGGCAGGGGGCTGCGTCCCAAAATGGGACGCAGTCAGTATGTTAAAATATGCCCTGCGCAGAACCACGATTTTGACATCGTCGTGTTTCCCTTGCTCAGGCGCGTCGAATGGTATACTTTTGTTTAGGTGAGGCCACCGTAAGGTCAACCTGACCTTGACCTCGAGTCAAGGTCAGGTCAGAGGTCTTCAAATCACGAAGTTGGTCGAAGGAGGTCATATCGCATATCATTCGATTCGGCAGGTCTTCCGGAGTCCATTGGTGACCTTGTCGACTCTCTAGCTCAATTTGATTGGGAGTTATTGACGAAAAACTAGTATGACTCTAGTGACGTCATAAATGACGTCATGCAAGGTCAACAATGCCAAAATGCAGCATCAGATCTTGCAATGAGTGCATGAAGTAGCGATTCCATGTATTTGAGACAATTGAATATCATTCCTAGCGCCAAAATAACAGTTTTCATATTTCCCCATTGACTTATAGGTGAGGTCACGTGACCAACCTGACTTTCTGTGACATTTAGGAAAAATCTGAGATATACAAGTTGTAAGACCTCTGAAGGACAATAAGTCCTGCAAGTCTCACCTCCCTGTGAAAGTTACTCTGGCACTGAGAGCGTTGCAAGGTTGCGATATCTAAGGATCGTGCAGAGGTTCATTTATGACGTCATAGGTCAGTGACCTGACCTGCCTTGAAAGTGCAATTGGTGTCACAAGATCCAGCGTGCATCAAAGGTCAGGTATGCCAAGTTGCAGCTCTCTATTGCCTGGGTGTTTTGAGCTATCGCGAAAACACCCTTTGGGGCATTTACCCCTTGTGCTCAAGTGCACCAAGCCACGGCCAACCCTTAGAAGAAAAAAGTGTCTGGATGCCAGGGCTGCAAGTGGCTGCAAATTTTCACTGGCTCCCCTAATAGATAGTGTCTTAGTGCATGCGATACAGCATTATTTTCAGTTCATCCTCGTAAAACTTTTTTTGCTGGGCTTGGTTAATTCAGTGAACGTAATGTTCAGTGGTAGAAAAAATATAAAAAGTTAACCTAATTATAAGACATTTTGAACTGATTTTGTCTACTTGCTTTCTATGGCGGAATCGTCTAAACACCTAAATTTCACTTTCCATGCAAAATGGATGCTCAACACCTAGCAATTTCATCGTTCCGCAAAATATTCAAAGAGCGTAAAAATCGGCTGTGATTATCCCCCTTATGAAGTGTTACGGAACGCTGTCTTTAACGATACTTTTGTCTACGAAAAAATGTCTCCTGAGCCATGCAAATGCACTAATCGTAATCTTTGATGAATTTTTTGTCGACTAGTATGCGTTGTTTTCCAATTTTCGGAAAAAAGCGTCTTTGAGGTTTCGCGAGGCTAGACCGGCCCGATCGCCTACCGTGCGGCGTTCAGAGCCAGCCGGCCGAGCCACAGTCTGCGCGGCCCGAGCAAGCAGTGAGGACCGGCGGCGGGCGCGGCTGAGGTAGCTGGAAGATGAAAGATAGCGCCAGTTGTCTGCGCTTGATGTGATTGTTGTTTTGACTGGTAAGTCAAAGTACCATTTACGAGTAGCATTTGCAAGATTGTGCCTTGTAATATCGTGCTGTCTAGGCTATAGTTCATTGTAGCTCTAGCCTCTAAGGTGTTGACATGTTTGATCTAGCCTGTCGCACTGTTACGGGAAGTGGTGAAGGTATTTTTGTGATTTTTTTCGTGAATTGAATATGTCTGATTTTCCCTCATGTCTTCCCGCAGACGTCCTGCAACTCGTCAGCGCGCCTTGTGGCAGGCCTACTGTCGGCAAGGCGGTAGCGAAGTGGCTGTCCGGAAGCTGCGACCGGAACGGGGGGCGTGCAGACCGTCTGGTCAGGCACTGCCAGCTGCCGAGGGACATCGAGGCCGCAAATGAGCCGGTGCCTAACGGTCCGCCGAGTGATCCTCCCAGCGAGGATTAGTGAAGAAGTGAACTTCCACCAGTTCTGGCGTGCTAGCGGCTAGCGCTAGAGCCGGTAGAACCCAATTCCGTCCCACGCACCCATGGGGGCGTGGGAGGCGCCCCTGGGCCCCATGCCCCATCACCGATGCCGCCGCTGTCGTTTTTTTTTTTTTGTAAATTGACCTGTGTGATGTATTGAAATATACACTTCTTACATGCCTTTTTTACAAGTCTAGAGAACGGGAAGAGAGCGCCGGAAACACATTCTGAATATGTTGCGAACACGTTGAGAGGACGTTGCGAAAATGTTTAGGACGTTTACTCGGGGTCGCACGGACGGCAATACTGATACGAAGATAGCGACAACGTGGTGCGCACGTGATAAAAACGTTCAGAAACGTCGCAGAGACGTTGCCAAAGCGTTCTATACTCGTTGTAGTCACCAAGGCCTTAATACAGTAGTCACGTTGTGGAAACGTGGTGACAACGTTCCAGAAACACTGTTGGCACGTTACAGAAAACATTTCATAACGTTGGCGGGACGTTGTGAGAACGGTTTTGGGACGTTACGGTCACGTTACCGAAACGTTGTGATGACATTCAAATGCATGGTCGGATGACGTTGTCACGCCGTTGTCTGGAGTCTACAAAATTACGTTGTCACAACGACAAATCGGAACGTTGTGGTAACCATTTGACAACGTTTAAACGACGTTGTAACAACGGCAAATTGTTAGCTGGGTAATACCTATCACCCGATCATGTCAACCTTTCCATATCACCCTTAGTCCTTACCATATTACCCTTGAGTTAATACTACGAAACGTTGGTTGGTTATTGTGTTTTTATCAATTAGTGACCTTAGTGTAGGTATTGGAATGGGCAGACCACCGACAGACGATGCACCATGCGCACAGTGGCAGGGACCTCCCGGTGGGACGGTTCCCGATGGGCAATGACAAAGCCTGTCCTGCCGGGTTAATTAAATGGTTACCTACCCCAGAGAAGGTAGTCCACGGGCCACGAGGGAGGGTGTAGGTATTCAGACGAATAAAATAACGATGATTTGCCCTCATCGCCGGTCCTCTGGTCGTCTGGTGGGGCCGTGACCGTAAGCCCGGACAGGGATGGACGTGTGAGGGGGGTGCGAGTTGTATGGGCTTGTTTGTCCCATGAGGATGGCGAGGATGGATGAAGTTACTAGTTAGGTATGAGCTATTGCTCAATGCTCATCAATGCTTGCTTCTCGCGTGATCCCTATTACCCTACCGCTGCGTCATCTATAATGAGTGTAGTGTTCATTTCTTGAATGTAAGCTTCCAGGTCGGCCGCTAGATGGTAGAAGCTGCAATTCTGAAGCATATGCTTGCTTTGGGATAATACAATTTCTTTGCTTATTTTTCTTAAAATTGTGCTGATGACGTAGTTGATGCATCTACCAATGGCGTGCATATGCTGATGACTGAGGTTTGGATGTTGAGGGTAATATTATGTTTACCTACTAAATATTTTGTGATTCAGATGAAAATAATACTTTGTTGCAGTAAATGTAGAAAATGAAGGTAGTTTAGATGTCGAAATACTCGAAGATGGATGCTCGGGAAAGATTCTGTATGACGTCATTATACTGTTTATTTCCCTCATTTGTATTACAGTATGTTAATTGCTCTAGCCCTGTAGTGTCTGGAGCAAGGCCCTATATATATATACCCCTATATATGGTCTGGAGCAAGGCTGGAGTAATAATAAACACAGCCAGGAACTGACGAGTGGAGAGGTAATGCGTGAATTTATTGTTCAACGCAGTATGTTAGGACCACTGAACTCTATAATGTTTACGAGATATGTCGGTAAATGTCAAGTTTAAGTCCTAAGAAGATTTCATTGATAAATTTTTCATATTTTTACATTATTTGACATCCTGAATCAAAAAATGATACTCATATGTCTCGCAAATAAAAGAAAAAACATAATCAAACCTGACCTAACCTTACCTACTTACCTATAACCTACCAACCTACAACCTACAAACCTACCCTAACCTAACCTAACCTACAAACCTACCTACCTACAACCTAAAACCTACAAACCTACAACCTAACCTAACCTAAAACCTAAAATTTTTGCTGTTTCATATTCGTATCAAAAGCACCACAATTGTAGTTAGGACCTAAACTTGACATATATCGATATGTCCGCACCTTTATCTCATATTTTTGTCATAGAAATTAGGCTGCCATTGAGTGATTGATTGGTTGTCTTTTCAGGACCCAGCCAAGGTTAAAACGTAATAGCCCAACCTAACTGGATTCGGGCAAATTGTCGATGTCCTTTCATATTTATATATATTTTACATGGAAAACTGCATTTTATTAATATCTGACAGTGAATGGTTTCTTTTGGAATTGCTGGTGTAATTTTGAAATTGTATGATTTGTTTGCAGCTTTGGATTACACTTGTCAATTGTCATTGAACATAGAAGATGGGAAATGCAGATTCTAAAGCAAGTTTCAGACAAGCTCTTTTGCAGCTCACATCAAAGTCCCAGGTAAGTGTGCATGTGGTTATGCTATACACTGTGGTCCTTTACTCTGTTGTTTCTGTCCTTAGGGAAGTCAAATCCTTTTTCGTACCCCCACCCCCTGCCTGACTGAAAAATCCATGTTACCATCAACAATCAACATGTCTGGCATAACAGGTAGATTGAGCAGAGGCACAGTATCCAGTGTAACTCTGTGTCAAAATTTTGGTGCAAGGATGAACAAATTTTGGTGCAAATGGGCGATTTAAGAGATTTTGTCACAGGATGAGTGCTAACCTAAGCTAAGGGTTATTCATACGCTATACTCTACACTACACCTTTTTGCACTCAAAATAGGCATCTTTTCATTCAATTTCGGCGAATTGCATTCAATTTTAGCGATCTCTCTATTCGAAGCAAATGAGAGATCGCTAAAATTGAATGCAATTCGCCGAAATTGAATGAAAAGATGCCTATTTTGAGTGCAAAAAGGTGTAGAATTAAAAAAACCTGAGATGATAACTCCTCTGGTGCCTAATGTTCATCAGAGGCCACCTGGCTTGAGCCCCCCCCCCCAGATTTATATTCGTGTAGCCCTAAACACCCAGGGGTTGAGAAGACTGGTCGGATTACTAGGCCCGAGAGTCCTGGCCATGCCCTGTAATATGCGATGGGAAGTAGTTTGTCTGCTGAGTTGTCTGAAGAGAAACACAAATTTTGCATGCAGTTCAGCATGTTGATTGAAGTTCGGCGCGCCGGATGATTGTCTAATCGATGCTGGTATTATGTTGAGCAATTTTTCCGGTATTGACGTGGTTCAGAACTGAATGACAAATACCACGCTGATCCTAAATAAGACGGCTGCAGAAGGTCACATCGAAGTTTCACGGGCTGACCCCGGGCCCGGGAGATAGGCGCAGCGTCACCCGCGCGCAGAAGGAAGCCGGTTCTGCCCATGTCTGTCGATTTTTCTCTCTTAAGAGGAACATCTGATCGATTTTATCACAAGTACCTACCGATCATCTCAGCTTTATTACAACTACCAACCGGTCGCCCCATCGACTTTTCTTACATCTACTAATTATCGTGTTTTCTCAAACTGCAGATCATCTCCTCGCTTTTCTCGAAACTACCGATCATCTCCTCGACTTTCCTTGAAACTACCGATCATCTCCTCGACTTTTCAAACTACTACCGATCGTCTCCTCTTCTCTAACAACTGACTATCTTCCCCTGTTTTCTCTCCCCAGCCAGTGGACCCCTCCGATACCCGTTTCTGGGACCAGTTCTGGTCCGAGTCGGTAGCTTCCGTTGAAGATGTGTTCGCCCAGACTCCAGCCGCCGACATCCGGGCGCTGCGTGAAGAGATGCCGGCGAACATGGCGACTGTCTGCTTCAAGGCGGTGGAGAAGCTGCTGAAGGCCTCCGAGACGGGATGTTCCACGCAGCAGGAACAGCAGACAGGTTAGAAAATGTGCGAGTGAAAGGGAGAGTGCAGAATATATGTGTGATATGGGTGTAGAATGTGAAAAGGTGCAGTGTGTGCAGATTATAGACATATGAGAAGGTGGGGGAAAAGGTGGGAGGGGAGTGAAAACTGGGAAAAAGTGAAAACAAAAACGTCTCTACGCATTGCAGCGAGGTATTGGTAACGTCAACTCCAGACATAACAAGTTACAGCCAACCGGAAAACAACCACAACCCACAGCATTCTTTAGCACATCGTTTCTATCGTTCGTTTTCACTCTGCGTTTCCTGATCGCTCGATCACCGAACTACCCTCGCTAACTCTACCTTCTCACCCTTCTCACACAGTGCTCAACTGCGTGCGCGTGCTCACACGCCTTCTACCCTACATCTTCGAGGACTCCGACTGGAGTGGCTTCTTCTGGACGAGCGCTCGGCCAGCCGGTGAGCCGCAGGATGGGCCCGAGCCACTGCCTCTCGCGCAGACTCTCATGGTGGCGCTATGTGATCTGCTCTTCTGCCCGGATTTTACCGTGACGCCCAGCAAGGCTGGTGCCGGCGTGGTGAGTGTAGTTGTGTGTGGCGGGTGAGGGTTCGATCCTCACGGGAGATGATCATTTTCGCCCTGGCTTCTTGTTATAACTCTGACTATGTTTCGGTACATTTTGTTTTGTTTTGTTTTGTGCTGCTAAGCGTCATGATTTGCCAATTAAATGCGATCATTTCCATTACAGAGACCTACGGTTTAATATCTCACTGATGGCGTTTAGCAGCCTAGGCTTTCAAATTAACCCAATAGTACAGGCTATCCAGGACGCTTTTCGAAGATCTGCCCTGCTCTGATGTTAGACTACGACCCTGTGCCGATGCCATTGAATTTCTTCGTAGTCGAAGTGAATCTAGTGTGAGATCGATAGTGCGTCTTTTATGGCTCCAATCCAGGTGTTTGAACACCTGTGCAGCTGAATGGCTAATAAAGGGCGCTGCATAGACGACGGGGCTGAACTAATTAGGCTCGCAATTTAGTTTTAAAATGCTGACTCTTGCCTTGATCTTTCTATACCTTGTCATTGGATAATCTCTGCTTGCTGTCGTCATATCTTGGTTGTCTTCTGCATAAAGATCTATCGATAATATCGATATTATAGAAGTGCGTGAAATTTTATTGTTGATGACATTTTTGGGAACTTGCGTTATATAAATAGAGCTATTGCTCAACACGAATGCAATTTTAGAGTGCATAGTGCCACCAAGGCACAAGGTAACCCTGGAAAACTCCATCCACCTTCCCTTTCAGCCGTCAAAATAATGAGTTTCGCTAAACAGCCGAGAAGCCAGTCGTGTGCAATGTGCATTAAGTACTGTGGTGCTAAAACGTGCCTCAAATGCTAAATGGTCCACACCCACTCAGTCAGGGTCAGCTGGTTAGACTAAGCGGAAGATGATCGTGACAGTAGGGGAAGGTGGGGTAAGACGGCCCAGCGGGGCAAGACGGACCACCAGCCCTCCCGGCTGAACCGCTGCTGGTATCTACTGCTTTATGCACTCACTATGTTTGTTTTCCTTCGTAACAATGGCCACCTTGAGCTCATGCTGCTAGGATGCATAGCTTTTGAGTTATTGAGAAAAATGTTGTTTTTCGTCGAACCGATCTAATATAAGAGGTCTACGGCAGTGTTCGCCACGGGCCCCAAAATCCCCAGCCCAGCCCGGCCCGGGCCCATGGGTTCAGAGCCCGGCCCAGCCCGTAGCCCGCTCTTGGCAAATATTCCAAGCCCAGCCCGGCCCGGCCCGTCAAAAATAGCAATCTAGTTATTGTCTTAGTCTATTGCTATAATAAGCATGATTGATTACACTATTTTGAGAACAATTCAAACTGCATGAATATTAACATGGCAATCATGACTCCCTTCTTTTCAATGAATATAATCATTTCAAGCACCTATGGCACAAATTTTAACAGTAACAGCAAGCACCTCAGTCAATTAGGTCATGATTACACACCTATAAAAAGTTTACATGATTATATTAACTACATTCTATGAGTAAAGTTATCTTGCAAGCTGATGTGTGTGAACATTATCATTCATAATTGGTGACTCTAATGCATACTTGAAGGAAGAATTTGCAACATACTCTATGCTTCCCAGCACTTACCAGCAGAAAAAAAGCTTGACTTATGGGAATTGATGAATCTGTCTGGGATTGACCTTGCTGTTAAATTCACTCCATAGATGCTGCAATATCAAAAGCCTGAGAAAGCATACAAAAAAGGTGACACTCACTTAAGCACTGTCTTCCAAAAAAAGAGAAAATCCATCCATTTATCAGCAAAACTGATTTAATCTATTTTCAATTCATGCCCACGTGTCAACCGAATCTCTGTGGACAACTATCTGCTACTTTCCTTGCTATTTTATGTTAGGCTCTTTTCAAGATATGGATATCGCTAGCAGCGTAAGCAGAAAACATGGTAAGCTTGAAATTTCATTGGGTACTTTTGCGACTTTTACGCATCATCATCCTCAATCGAAAATGAGCGAACACTTCTTGATTGTCGCATCTGCGGCAGGTAGCGATCCTGACCAACTGTATAATAAAACATATATGATCAAGTTTTTGTTTTGTTTTTCGTTCGAGCTTTCAGACTTCGTGATTTAGGTTTTATTTTTTATTTGTTTAATTTTGTTTTCACCTTGATACTTACTAAAAAAACGTATTTATTTGATATACTGTTGTGTATACTACCTAGATGCCGCCACATAAACATAGCGCCGCCGCCATGATTGCAAGTTTTGTTGAGAAGGCGCTGGTTTGTTGTGATTTATTTTGACAAATTTATGGACATTTAAAGAAGCTTTCATCGCGAAATACTCTGTAGAGTTCCTCGTTACGTACAGTGTGTTTTGTGAGTATCCTTTTAAGGTTCTGTTCGTTAAAAAGCCGTCGGTGAAGGAAAAAAGACTGTGTTGGAATTGTCTCACTATCGCCATATATAAGTGTTAACTGTTAAACTTAATGTAGCCCTGTAGCCCATCATTGTTGAGTGGCTTCTTAGTTTTTGGAGTTTTAGTGCTAAGTAAGTTATTCTGATGGCTACATTTTAACTTTTATTAACAAACTAATCATGCTAGAGATTCTCTGATCTTTTTGGTTGCGGAATTTGTATGAAAACCCTCCTATGTGTGACATGATGTGATATTGGATAATTCTCAAGATTCCCAAAATTCAATATCAAGTAGGTTTTCTTTCACATTGCTTAAATTTGGTTTAGTTTTTGTATTTTCCCAGTGGGTTTTGTTTGCATCAGTTTCCAAATTTTCTTAAATTGACATTAGTCGCAAAACCCATAGTGCACAAAGCTCTTGGCCCGGCCCGTCCATAGCCCGTTAACTAATGATATTTGGGGGCCCGGCCCAGCCCGTAGCCCAGCCCGGCCCATGGCCCGTTGGGCTGGCCCGGCCCGTGGCGAACACTGGTCTACGGGTGATTCAATTACGGCGCCTTTCTTGCATGATTAGTTTCTATTTTGCACTTAACTGTGAAGAACAAAGTTATAAACTTAGTTAAAGTCACACTTTAGGAACTGGCAAGGTTTTGCAATGTTGGGCTATTTGACATATACGTCATGATAATGACAGAATTTAGATTTGGGGCAAGACGGACCACTGTGGTCCATCTTACCCTGTGGTGGTCGATTGTACCCTGCATATGGAAAGTTCTTTTCCAAAACATTGACACAAGTTTAAGTAAGCTAATTTTTCAGGAAGAAGTCTTTGTTGCATGTGAGCCATGCATGCAGGTGCTCAGTTAGCATGCATTCATGCCAAACGACAATCAACACTCATGTTCCCAGCTTTTAGCTGCACTTCCATCACACATGAGTAAAGAATAAAGGCTCATTTCGTTATTTTACCATTCTGGTTACTTTTTCTTACAAGAGTACAGAGCAGAAGTGTAACACACATGAACGGATAGCAGGCACTGCTGGGTGGTCCGTCTTACCCCACGTTTTTTTCTTGTCTGAGTTTTTGACATGTCCGTCTTTAACAGCATCCACCACCTAGATGTCTTTAAGTTGAAATTTAGTCTTTACACATATCAACAGAGGAAAGATTGAGCATTCCGAAGACTATAAATAATATGAACTACGAGAGCAGTGTAGCAAAATATGCGGCCTCAAACCTTAGCTGGTCCGTCTTACCCCACCTTCCCCTACTTTGTTTTCCACTGAACATTCTGCCAGCTGGGCTTGGGGGGATTTAGTTCGCTACTCACTGAATGCTAAGCCGCTGCTGGTCCCCTCAAACTAACTTTATTATTCATACTAGCCTAACAATAGCCCCATTTTGATAGAATAAGTCGTTATCCGCCCACACGTCATGAAAGAGTTGCAATATGCTTGCAACTTTTCTCTGTTCGTCCGATTCACATATTGCACTCATACATTCATTCATTCATCCATTGAATCACTAATTGGTCTTTCGTTACCTACCCATTTGTTTTGCAATCACCAGTTCATGCTTCTTCCATTTTTCACCCATTTTGTTCTTCATTCATGCACGTACTCTTTGTTCATTCCTAAGTTATGCATTCATTCATTCATTCATTCATTCATTCATTCATTCATTCATTATCCATGCGCTCTGCATTTCTCATCCATTAATTTGCATTCACCTACTCATTCATTCATTCATTCATTCATTCATTCATTCATTCATTCATTCATTCATTCATTCATTCATTCATTCATTCATATTTAATTCATTCATTCATTCATTCATTCATTCATTCATTCATTCATTCATTCATTCATTCATTCATTTGTTCATCCTATCACTCACCCAACCCGTCTCCGTGTTTTCAGGACCAGCACGAGGATGTGCAGTCCATCGACAGCTGTGAGTACATCTGGGAGGCCGGCGTCGGCTTCAGCAGTCCCGTCACCCACAGTTCGGCTCACGACAGCAACCGCACCGAGATCCTGAAGCTGCTGCTCACCTGCTTCTCACAGACTATGTATCTGCTGCCCAGCGGTGAGCACGCTAATAGGGGATCGATCTTGAGGCTTTATTATTGTTTGGGATGCTGTCGACAAGGGAATGCATAGGTAGCCGGCGGTGATAGAAGCATTCATGTTGCTTTGGGATAGTATGACAGCTCATGGCTCACGTATTTGTTCTGACAATTTACTGGCTTCGCCTTGGAAAGGTGGTCTTGTTTTGAGCAGTGACCTTGGGGTTTATGGTTCCTCCGACGAACAATATCTTGCTTGATTTCTTATGACCCGATTAACGGCCGGAAACATGACCTATGGCCGAAAATAGTTAGGTTCGTTGTCATGGATGGTTGACAACCTTGAACAATGTCACGTTAGCTCACCGAGTGCGTATCTGACCAGTAATATGCAACCTGTTTAGCATCCTTATGACTTACCCACGGCCTTTTACTTAATCGTCACCATCAACACTACAATTATGTGACCGACATTGACATGACCTCTGACGGCTCACAGACGGGGCCCAGGCCGGGCCGAACCGCTGGGTGCAGTTCTTCACGTCTGCCGAGAACCGACATGCCCTGCCTCTGTTCACCTCGCTGCTGAACCTGGTGTGCGCCTACGACCCTGTCGGCATGGGTGAGTGAACCGAAAAGTCGGACTTACGAGTATGTGGGATTCGAATCTTAGATTGTTTAAGTAATTGGTTTGTTCTTGGTATCGTTATTTAGCCGCCGTAGATGTATGGACAGCAGCAAGATTAACCGTTTGAAGAGGGAGCTGCGTGGCGTTTGTAATGAAGGATGAAAGCGCGTTAAAAGTTGCATTGGCTTACACATTATAATGATTTTCCTCAACAGCAAAAAAGCACTTTCTGATGTCGCTAATTATCATTCAGTCATGGAGTTCTTTTTAGTTGGTATGACTGCTTGCTACAAAGTCTGCGTTGGCTATCACTCGAAACGCTTCTGTTCTCAGGCCTGCCGTACAACCACCTCTTGTTTAACGACAAACGCGAGGCCCTAATGGAGACAGCCCTGCAGATTCTCATTGTGACGCTCGACCATGACTCCACTGCCAGTCGGGCTGATGACGAGGTTAGTGACATCATTGGGTCAATAGTGACGTCATCGAACTAACAAGCCATTCTCAAGTGAAAAATTAGTCATAAGCACTGACCTGGGAAAACATTTATCATCATGAATTTTTCTAGGAGGATTGTTTGAATGTTTATACTCGATATCAATTTATGCAAAATGTTTTTGCAAAGTCACTCCGTGATTATCTAAAATCGTTCACCCATGATTCCACCACTGCACAAAATCTTTCTTCTGTTACAGCGCTCTCCGGACAACCTGTTCATCAACTACCTGTCACGGATTCATCGCGAGGAGGACTTTGACTTCATCCTCAAAGGTAAGTAACGACACGTAACGCACAAACGACGTAACCGAGATAATGTTATTTGTTTTCAGACACCGTCGGTCGTCGCCAAACAAGATTATATAATACTGAACGAGGCCGGTGTAAATAAATTTTCAAGACCGAGGTCCTTACTGAATTTTTGAACGAGGCCGAAGGCCGAGTTCAAAAATCAGTAAGGACTGAGGTCTTGAAAATTTATCACCGGCCGAGTTTGGTATGTATTTTACTGTATGCCAACGATAAAATAATTGTCTAGACCGAAGCTCTTAGCCGTTTTTTGAACGAGGCCATCCCAAAATGTTGACTTGGTAATTCGTTTTTGACCGTGGTCACTTTGCTTACACCAGTTATTACCACACCCCTCAGGCTAATGTATTTGAATAGGCCAGGCATACAGTAAATTGCGTAACGGCTTTGCGACGAACGTCTTCGTAGATGTTTTACTAGTGCTCAGGGACATCATAGTGGACTATGATTTGTGTCTATAGAAAATAGCTGTCATAGTCTTACCACTTATTTTATTTTTATAAATGGCTTTATAGAAAGAGATGCTGCGAAACAATGGGTAGAATCATACGTTTAAGGGTAGACTCATGCGTCTTCCGAAACGTTATCTTGTCTATTGTGCATTTTTGAGCCGTCTTACGTTGCAACTTAGGGGAGAGCGGGGTAATTTGGCCGCTTTTTTAGAAAACGATATAATTTAAAATTGACGACACATTTCTGCATTTTCTCAACGCTGACAGGTGTCGCATTCATTTTACTTTACTGGACAGTGAACTTGAAATGATAGAGTTATTACTTATATTGAAATTGTGACGTATTACAAAGGTCTGCAAGGCGGCCAAATTGCCCCACTAGCAGGGTTATTTGGCCGGGGGTGTGGGGCAATTTGGCCGGTATTAGTTTGCGGTCGGGATTTTCTTTTATATTGCGAGTCAGCTTCAGATTCAGCAATGACGTGTGTCCTATGACGCATTTGCCGCATTTTGGAGGTTGGCTCAGGGGTCACAGGGGTCAAAATAGCCAAATTAGCGGCTCTAGATGCGATCACAGTTTTTTACGAATAACTTTTGAAGTAATCAAGCTAGGCCAAAACTTCGAGTACCATCGTAATTCTCTCGTCAGTCCGCTTCGAAAGATATATGTGTTGACCTTGAGAAGTCAAGGTCAAAGGTTGACCGCAGGTCACGTTGCATCAGGTCGCTTGACCTCAAGGTCACGTGATTTCAAGGTCATCATGCATATCATTCGATGCGCCTTGGCGAGCTGAACAGAATGAGACCATTTGTGCGGCTGTACCATTTTTATCTAAGGATTTATTAGCAAAAAAACGTTTGGTAACCTTTGATGACGTCACATGCTCTTACAGTTGACCAATCGGAAGTAAGGCATCAAAGTAGACAAAGATGACCATCAAAGTTGGTCATGAATCATGTCATTTATGGTACAATTGAACATGAAAACTCGGCCGTCCCAGCATAGTGACCATGAGCGCACCGGCCAAGTTGCCCCGCTAGTCCCGGCCAAATTACCCCATATTGCCATTCTGAAAATTTTTGTCTATAAAGTCATCGCGGCTTTACAGAATTAGATAAAATTGCTCTTCGAGCCGCTGAACACCCCCCAGAATGGCGCTATAATGTCTGAATTCGTTTTTGGCCCAAATACTACATGTTATACAACTTTGTAAACAGAAGTAAAAGTTATCATTTTCTAATGAAATTAACGTTTTATTAATTTTGAATAAAACTACGAGGGGCAAAGTTTTGGCATTTGTCCTCCAGTTATTTCTACCCATGACAAATGAATAGAGACTAGAGTTATTTCACTGACTTTTATTAGACATCGTACAGGTGGGGGCGGCCAATTTACACCACCGGCCAAATTACCCCACTCTCCCCTACATCATTTCTTGCAGTAAGCTTCTAAATGTTTCATTTTCAGGGTTTACTCGTCTCCTGAACAACCCGCTGACTCAGACGTACCTGCCACATTCGACCAAGAAGGTGCACGCCCATCAGGAGCTGTTAGTGTTCTTCTGGAAGTGTTGTGACTACAACAAGGTATGTGCGTTACAGCTGGGTTAAAAGGGTATATTACCGCTAAACTCAAATCTCAGTTCGTCACTTTGAATTTGTCTTACTTGGTGATGTCGTTTACCGTTTTTTTTTTACGTGATTTACATGTGATTTGCGAGTGTTCTATAAGCAGCTGATGTATCCTTTGAAATTTGTTCAATGTTTTGGGATATGGATGGGTCGATTTGCCACTTCATAACATTTATCTCAAGTAGAAATAGAAATGGACAGGAACCATGACTTTCTCATTAAAACCTGTGGTTGCCACTTGCCAGCTTTTTTCCTTGTGAAAGTTCACAAGACTTATCTCCGTGGTTGTATAACACAGTACATTCGGCAAACTACTTGTAATGTGCCATGTGCTGGCTCCCACGAATATGCGTTTGCTTACATAATCCCCCGCTATAAGACCCCCACTCTACAACCACTCTCGTCATTCACTCTGTTGTCGTTCAATTTGGCGCATTCGCCACTTCCACTGTGGCGTTTTGAGGGTTCGCTGAAGACCAAGAAGACAACTGACTACAATCATGCTGGCTCTTTTGATCGCACTGTTGCCTCTTGCCGTTTCGTCTGAAGAATGTATAAAGCCTCAGCCCGACCCCACGTTCACGAATGCCGCCTATGAGGGCACTTGGTACGAAGTGGGCAAGATCCAGACGCCCGGCGGAGCGGCGTTCCAGAAGGACTGCGTCTGTGACGCCCTGGTGTTCCATTCGGATGAGCCGGTGGTGAGTTAACTGGATACAGCTGCTTCTTTTTATTATTTCACCTTGTTACTTATAAATATTATTATTTTTACTGTCTGGTATTTGTATCAGTAGGTTAGAAGCTTTTGTCTCGACAGTACGTAACGACAGTCTGCCGTTACGTTTTGACATATTTTTGTAGAGATACTGGAAGTGTTTCAAATTAGTTACAATATAAATTGCTTTATGATAGGAACAAATTATTTGCGATGCATATTAAGCGCTCACCGACGTTTTCCCTCCTTTTTTGGTAACCGCTATGTGGTGGTAATCCCTACAGCTCTCCGTAGTTGTGATAATACAACAGTTGTCATTTTAAAGCGCATGATAACATGCGCCTGTCCACGTTTTTCCAGCAGGGAGACGGCGAAGTCACGTACGCCTGCCGCTACAAGACGGTGGACGGCATCTTTACCAACATGACGGCCGATCTCATCTACGAGGGCACGCCGGGAAACTTCAACCAGAAGTTCCGCTTCCCGTTCGCTCCTCTAACCGACTACAACCTGGTCCTGCTGGACGAAGATGCCGCCATTGAGTACGACTGCAGTCCTCATGCTGACGGCACCATCGACTACTGCATCCACTTCATCAGTCGCACCCCGAGTCTCTCCGAGGAACGCCTGCAGGCTCTGATTGATCTGGCGCTGGGGATGGGTCTCAATACGCAGGATCTGGCGTACAAGGCGAACATCCAGGACGGGTGCTGGCGATGTGAGAGCTAGGCGAGGAGCCATTTTCTATGCCTCAATGTGTGATAGTTTTGACTAGGAGAGACATGTCGACAAGGGAAGACGTTTGAAATGTTGGTTTCATTCTGTCGTAGATGATATTCTGTGAATGTTTTGCCGAGGCTATGCTTTATGTATACCGTTCTTGGGTTTACGATTTGTCGATAGTAATGATGCGACGTTTGAGGCTGGTACCTATCACAAGTCATGACGTTTCTTTTCAACGACATTACTTGCTGGCTACGGCTAGTGTACTTGACAAGATGTATGCTTTGTGTGGTATGGTATTGCACCAAATAAAGCCACAAAATAGTTTGTGATGTCGCTGCTTGTTGTCTTTCTGCGAGTTGTGAGTCAGTCAGATAATTATTTTGCGCTTGACATGTTTTCTTGCTTGAACGTTTTTGGCAACTTTTACGCTTGTGATGAAAAGTAACACGATCTACTTACTTACAATCTTGCTCTTATTCTTTCCCGATGCTAGACATTGTTCAGTAAAGCACCGGCTTCAGGGTATCTAAAACGTGTGCTGTGAAAACGGCACCAGATATTTGATGAGTTTTGCTGAACTAAAATATATTAATTTTCATTAAATTTATGATTTATGACACAATAAGTGGGCTACGAATACGAATAAGTGGGCTACGAAACCTTTGTGTCTCGATATCTCATGCCCACTGTTCTTTGCTATTTTTTTTTTCATCACATTTCCATGCCCACTGTCGTATTTGAGTAGCAAGTGCCCAAGCAATAAATTATTCAATTTTCATTTCCCTGCGTTTCCGTGGACTTCTCAAATGGGTCCTCGTGGCGCTAGACTGAGCACTTAGCATTCAGCTTTATCTTTTAGCATTTTCTCTTAACTTCAGCCTGTTTTTCAATGAAAACTTTTTGACGGCGCTTCAGGGAGGACGCTTGATAAACAGATGTACTACTCACGAATATCAACCCTCACCGTCACCCTCACTGTCCGTTCCCCTTTCTCGGCCGACAGAAACTGCTCTTCTTCGTCCTCAAGTCGAGCGACGTACTACAGATCACAGTTCCCATTCTGTACCACTTGAACGAGTGCAGAGCCGACCAGGCACGCGTGGGTCTCATGCACATTGGTGTCTTCATTCTGCTTCTGCTGAGTGGGGAGAGGAACTTTGGCGTCAGGCTGAACAAGCCCTACACGGCGGCTGTGGCCATGGATGTGCCCGTCTTCTCAGGTGGGTTTGGAGTCTTGGACTATGGGAGAGTATGAAGGGGCTGGGCTTGAAGGTGATGCATGGATACTTGGTAGTGTGGCTGGGCTGGATATGCCCGTCGTTATACTGCTGAGCTGGGACACTAAAATCCATATGAAGGGTTTTCATAACTGAGCAATGTTTAATAGGTGAATATGTAATGTTTGTTCAATGTTCATATCATATGTCATATTCATATGTAATCATATGCCACGTTCATATGTAATCATCTGATACATTTGATTGAAATCGCTATAAGTGTAGTTCATCGGTAGGATGGCTGGGTATTTCCGGAAATTGTCCGATAGTTATAAACATCTAAGATATTTAATGCATGTAAAAAAGATATCACCACACTTTGCGCAATTGCCGTTTTACAGTAGAATCCGATTAATAAATCCACCCTGGTGACGCGACGTTTTGGATTTATTAAGCGGTGGCTCTATTAACCGGGATCAGTTATGCTTCTTGCAGAAAATCCGTGAACAGCTCAAGTGGCTACAATAAGCCGCTGGACTTTATTTAAGCCTCAATATAAGCTTGTAATATAACCCTATAAGCCAATAATTAGCCTCAATAAGTCTATATAAGGCAGATGTTTTATTTAGCGGAATCTACTGTTTTTTGGACGGCTTCATTCACAACAGCCAACCTGCGGCTGCCAATCTTCGATAACTTTTTTCCTACGATAAGTTTTTCATGTGAGCACGTTTGCCATGGCTAGCTGTTCTTGACCCTACCTGAATAATGTGCTCGTTCGGTATAAGCAGTCGCCGTTACACTTCACACACTTGCTGAATGTGCACCGTTTTCTTCCAGGAACCCATGGCGATCTGCTGATCATCGTGTTCCACAAGATCATCACCACGGGCCACCAGAGACTGCAGCCACTGTTCGACTGTCTGCTCACGATCCTCGTCAACGGTACGTGATTGGTTGTTGTAGGTGTTGAAGGTGCGTTAAACACACTTTTTGCATTCATTGTTTTTTCCAAGCATTACTTTGTGCCTGATTTGGGGCTTTAGCTTTAGCTTTTACGCTGTCGCTCCTGAACTTTTTTTTGTGAGATGTGTTTAGTCTGAAGGTCTCATTTGCTCACAAATATGTCCAAGAATATTAATGGAGCTATACATTGTTTGCCATTCTGCTAAGTTTTTCGAGAAAAATATATGCGAAGTGCTTAGGAAATGAAGTTATTTGCTTATTTCGTGTGAATAAGGGAATTCGTGTGTCTTTTCCTTCAAACAGAGACTTTTGTACGCTGAGTTTTGCTGTTCAAATATCCAGATGTATCTCTACAATATTATGAAGTGCCTCCCGCACCTTCACAGTGTCTCCGTACCTAAAGACGCTGTCGATGGTGTCGGCCACCAAGCTGCTCCACCTGCTGGAGGCCTTCACCACGCCGTGGTTCCTCTTCTCGGCGCCAAACAACCACCATCTGGTGTTCTTCCTGCTGGAGATCTTCAACAACATCATACAGTACCAGTTTGATGGTAAGGCGGAGAAAGAGGTGTTGCGTGGTAATGGTACGTGGGTTTGGTCTTAAAATAACTACGCCTTGCTTAACCTTGTGTCGGCTGAAAGATACACAATCAAGTGAAGATGAATGTCTTAGAATTTTCAGGGCCCGAAAATAAGTTCTATCAAAGTGCCAGTCACGACTAAGTCAAGGCTACAGTGCTTCTGGTTAGTGTCTTGCATTAGGTTGTAGGTTTTTTCTTTTCTTTTAAAACAGTATTATTACTCGCGCTAAAAAAAAAAAAACAATTCAGTAAATGAAAACCGGGGATAGCTGGAAGAAACGGAAGCTGTGATAACACATCTGATTCTTTTTGACGTTGAGGCGCTACATATGCTGGTCCGCAGACGAACGCATCCGTGTAGGTATCTGAATGTCCACCAGTATCCATGAGAAAATAACAGACGGTGTCTGCACACCGCGGCCTGCCATGTCGAAGCTTATTTATCGTTACTGGCCTTGTACCGAGTCGGAGTGCGCAGGGAACGGTTTTGCTATATCGAATAGCCATGTCAGAGGCATTTGTGAAGTGTGTGGGCCGTTTAATGTTTGGAGTTGGGATGAACACCGCTTGTATGATAGACCACGGTGCTAAGCGCCCGTATCACAGACTGTTGCGACAAACTTTTTTTTTATAAATTTAGTCCGAACCTTTTGATGGGAAGGATTCACAAGGACAGAGCCACCGCTAAGCGAAGCTTGTTGCGGTGACCCTGCCCTCTACCCTCCGATCGCGCAATTCCGGTTCTATGGCAGAATTTAGAGTCCAAAGTTTAACGTGCGCACAAAGCCGCGCACGGCCGGTCCCCTCGCTGACTTCGCCTGGCTACGGCCTGCCACCAACCGCAACCATACCTGTCAGGAGGCCCATAAATGTCGAGCGCCCGTCGCGCTTCGAACCCGGACTGTCATAACCGGGAACGCGTGCTCTCACCACGCGGAGTCCAACGCTCTAACCAACTGAGCTACGGGACCGGCACTGAGCTACGGGACCGGCTTCGTGCACTATCTGTGAAATGTCAAGGTGCTGTTTGCGGTAGCATGATATATCATGTGCCATATGATGTGCGATATCTGCATTAGACGTAGCTAACTCCTGGTGGCAAACCTCAAGGGTCATTGCACATACATCACCTTTTTGTATTCTGTAGGTGAATTGAATGTGTGCCCTTCATTTCAGGAAAGCTTGGAACAGCTATCATTTCTCCAGCATATTTTTATTTCGCGTTGTTTTTTCTGCATCTATGGCGTCTTTGTGAAGGTCTCGTAAAAACGAGCATTGCTGTGACAAGTTATGCGTTGTCATTGCAATGTCATAAATGATAACCTCCTTCGCCCGCTCCGCAGGCAACTCCAACCTGGTTTACACTATCATCAGGAAGCGTCAGGTGTTTCACAACCTGGCCAACCTGCCCACGGATCACGGCACCATCGACAAGTCGCTCAGCAAGCGGTAAGACCGGCGAGTGGCGATCCAGTTTGAGGCGACAGGGCTAGTGGATTATCCTGGGGGTGGAGTGTTGTTTGATTTATGTTCGGTGACAAGATTGATGGTGTTTATGTCGTTGTATGTGTACGCCATGCCCTTTGGGAGGTGTGGCAAATGACTGTTACATCAGACCAGCATTCATTGCTGTGTTATGCATTTGCCTAGATGTTTTCTTTTGCACCGGACGAATGTGTTCTGTTGTGTAGTGTTCCTGGGTGTGCTTTTAATTTTTGGTAGTGTCATGTACAAAAGTATTGGAAGCTTTTACTTCAGCACGTGTTATTTCACCACGGGCTTTTGATTGAGCGAGGGCTTTTGATTGAACGATCATTACTGCAATTACTTTGACATTTTTTTTCATTTTCATCGTCGATACAGCCTCATGTTTTACTCCATCCTACCAATCATCGTACCACCCTCGCACTGGCCTCTTCTCACTTTTTTTTTCGTAATAAAGCCAATCTGCTTCTCGGTCTCGCTCCTCAGGTCCAAGGCTGAGGCGGTGCGTCAACCCTCCCTGGACGGATCGTCTCGTGCGCCGGCCGGCGCGGCGGCGGGGCTGGCTGAACAGGGGGCGCTGAAAGCGACGCTGGCGGCCACACCGCGTGAGTGAGAGATTAGGGATGTTGGCGGAACGGTCTGGGAGCGTATACGGGAAGTGGAACGGGCTACATTGAGTTGGGAGTCATGGTAAGTTGAATCATGATTATTTGAAAAGAAATTCATTTAACGATTTCTTCTGCTTTTGTAACTGTAAAGATATCCTCTCACATCAATGGGGCAAGAGGTATGTTCAATGCTTGTAGATCCATTGTGTAGTTCTCATAAGTCTTCATTCCTAAATATCTGTGAATTCGACGCTATGGCACAGAGCTGTTTGGCAATTACGCATATGATATGGGGCTTTAACTTGTCCATATGCTAGTTCCCATCATATCCCTCACGATACTCACCGCGGCTTAATGCTCACCTGCCTGCCGGCTGGTATCCACTCAGCCCCTCACCGCTAAGTATGAGTCATAATGCCCCACTGTACATAGATAGTAACTTTCCCCAACCCCCCGACCATCTCCCGCTTCAGGTATCGACTCTATGACTGAAAAGGAGTCAGCGCACCCACAGCCAGTGAATATCGCCGAGCTGAGCCTAGCTGAACCGGCCGGGGTGAGCCGACCGCAGGAAGGCAGCACCTCGGACGCCGGTCACGAGGAAACTGGAGGCGCTGCTGCCGCCGCGGGACAGGTCGGTGGGGGTGGGTTGCTGATTGACGCTTAGGCCCGGGACACAAAATACTTCTGACGGCATCTTATAAAGGGTGTTAAGTTTCGGCTTGCGCCATAACTTTGTTGATTTAATTAGAAGCTTGTGGATGCAACAACTGGTGGGGGCCAAAATTGTTGAACGTAGAAATGAATCACAGTTCGGGAGCAGCTGACAGTGAATAATTTCATTTTTTACGGTAGGGGCGTTCCACGGCAAATCGACAAGTGCCCTGCACCCTCATATTTTATTTTTTGCTTAAAATTGGTCTAATGGGTTGTGATGGGCGGGGAAGCCAGCTGTGGCAAGGATTTTTTTCTTCGAACAGCGGTTTCCGATATATAGCCTCGGGCAATTCCTGGAGTTTACGCTGCAACCCTATGTTTGGCGGCTTATAACTCAGAAACTATTGGTTTTCTATGATAAAAACTTTATATGATTCAACTCACAATCAACCAACAAACATTTTGGCTATCTCGGATTTTCAATTTTTGAAAATTTTGATCACGTGACCTTTCGTCCTATTTTTCGAAGAGTGACCTTGATATTTTCCCCACTGAAAGTTACAAATTTGTCTGATGACGATTAAAGCCTTATCAATTGTCATTCATATGCGATAATAAAAAAGTGGTTATCGCCCTGCGTTGACCTCAGGTCAGGTCATTTTTATGACCTGTCCATTATTACGAGCGGGAGCGACAGCGAGATCTCGAGAATAAAGCAAGATAGCGACAAGCGGTAAACGGTACAGGGTACACACGGATAAGGTCTAAAATTTTTACTGAGGTCATTTTCAGGTCAGGTCAAAGATGACGTCACAGGAGCAAAAAGGAAGTCAAAATAGCGGCACTATACATATATATGAGGTTTTTCTCGAATAACTTTCAAGATATCCCAGCTAGGAACAAACTAATAGCACCATCGTGATCCTCTCGTCGATCCGCATCGAAACATATGTATGTTGACCTCGAAAGGTCGAAAGGTCCAAAGTTGACCTTAGGTCACGTGACCTTGCTTTATTCTCGAGATCTCGCTGTCGCTCCCGCTCGTAATAATGGACAGGTCATAAAAATGACCTGACCTGAGGTCAACGCAGGGCGATAACCACTTTTTTCATTATCGCATATGAATGACAATTGATAAGGCTTTAATCGTCATCAGACAAATTTGTAACTTTCAGTGGGGAAAATATCGAGGTCACTCTTCGAAAAATAGGACAAAAGGTCACGTGATCAAAATTTTCAAAAATTGAAAATCCGAGATAGCCAAAATGTTTATTGGTTGATTGTGAGTTGAACCATATAAAGTTTTTATCATAGAAAACCAATAGTTTCTGAGTTATAAGCCGCCAAACATAGGGTTGCAGCGTAAACTCCAGGAATTGCCCGAGGCTATATATCGGAAACCGCTGTTCGAAGAAAAAAATCCTTGCCACAGCTGGCTTCCCCGCCCATCACAACCCCTTACACCAGTTTTCAACGAAGAATAAAATATGAGGGTGCAAATTTAATTTTTTATTTGTCGATTTGTCGTGGAACGCCCCGGTAGATAATCGATTATTTTTTATAGTATATCAGCTTGTTTTGAAGTGAACCCACCCGTTTTTGCGCAGAAGTTGAAAGCTGTCCGCCACAACAGATAATTTGTGTCTGGCTGTATTTGTCGTAACGTCAACAATTGGTACTTACCTCTTGATGTATGTATAAATTAGGCTGACACCACCCACACTCTATTTCAGGCGGGCCCGTCGACCAGCTCCCCTGGTCCCTCCAGCCCCACTCCGACCACCTCCTCGACTGCCACCTCCTCCGGTACCGGCCGATCCGCGCCTCCGGAACGCTGGGTGCCCACCAGCCAGTGGGTGAGCTCGTGGAAGAACAAGCTGCCCCTGCAGACCATCATGCGCCTGCTGCAGGTGTTGGTGCCCCAGGTGGAGAAAATCTGCATCGACAAGTGAGTGAGGATGTGGAGGGGATGGTTGGGTGGGAGGCATGGACGAGTTTTTATATTTGTCAGATGTTGGATAGGTGTTTGGTAGAAATGGATGGATGGTCTGAAAATGATCGAGACTCGGGGTGATTAGGTGGAGTGGGATGTGTTGTGTTCCATGATGGAAAGGAGAACAAACTTGAATGCTGATTGCTGAGTTGAACACAGCAGAAAAAAAAGAAACAAATAAGAATTACGAATTGACGACGAATCTTTTTTCCTATGCGTTATGCCCCTTGCTTTGCTTTATATTGCCACTTAGCTAAGTGCGTAATCATGTTTGACAACGTTTTGGTGACATTTAGTGTTGAATGTTTATACGTGCTAGCGCCGTCAACGCATGAATGCTATTTTGCAGCTTATTTATGTACGTCGTAAATTACACACAAATATGTGAAATTAGTTTTCTGAAAACGTGTTATTTGTTTTCGCTTACACCAACCCACATTGTGCACCTTTTATGGCATTGCGCTTTTTGTGGTATAGTCATGCGCCATATCTCGTCGTGACTCTGGCCACCATTGTTGACTTGTTTTGTCAAACTGCACGCAGTTGACCTTTATAGCCGATATGATGTAGCAGTTCCAATAAACACCATACTAACCACCTTCCCCCTCCTCAACTCCCTTTCTTCACAGGGGTCTGACCGATGAGAGCGAGATCCTCAAGTTTCTCCAGCACGGAACTCTGGTAGGCCTGCTGCCGGTACCACACCCGATTCTGATCAGAAAGTACCAGGCCAACTCGGGTACCACTCTGTGGTTCAGGACCTACATGTGGGGAGTCATCTACCTGAGGTCAGTCCGCAGTGTGGTGCTGGTTGGGGGGTTAATAATAGTCTGGCAAACGTAAGAAAGAATAAATGCAGGATGAAATTAAGGTGAGATATTTGACACGCATGCCTGTGGACGTAATTTGCGTTTTATCTCAATGTTTGCTATATTTTTATGCTGAAAAGAAAAGTAAGCCACTCCAGTCCACTCCGAACTATTTACAATTAACATAATACACGCATAATTAATTTGAGACGGCTTAAAGTTATTTTTACGTTTGCCAGACTATATTTAGCCGCGGTGGAGGGTGGGTTCGAAACTCAGCATGGCTGATGAGTTTTCGGACGCTGCTTTGTGTGAACGATGATTTGGTTGCTGTCTGGCTTTGCTGGTCCGACTTGGGACATGCGGTTGACAGCCATATTTCCTGCGCGTCCATTCCTTTTCTGTTGAACAGTAATGGAAAACAGCGCCTTACAAAATTCAATGTTTTTTTCTATTGGTTCACAGGAACCATCTCGACTGCATGTGATTATCCTGAATTATTGTCTCCTGATCCCAGGATGCTTTCTTTTTTGTGTATGTGGTGAAAGCACTAACTTCTCCCCCCTCCCCCCTTCGCATCTCAGCGATTGATAGCAATAGGAATTGGTGTGATACCGATGATGCACACAAGTATGACATTCTGAACCCATAGCATCATTTATCCGCATGTGCTACACATGAATTCACGAGATTGCCAGCGCGTAAACTATGCGCATGCATCTAACAACATTCTTGGAAAGTTAAGGAAGCATCAATGGTCACTCCTGCTTATCAGTCATGAGAAGGCAGTAAAGAGGGCGCTGGCGAATCTACACGCAACCCTTACAACCCCACGAATGCTGTGAAGTAGTTACGTCAAACATTACATTGTGTGAATTGTTGCGCGTGCTTAGAATATGGTGTTTTGGTTGTGCAGCTTCACGCTTTTGCGCTACCCGGAGATGCTCCTTTTCCTTTATTGTTTCCTTTGACATTGCATGGCTTGGTGAGTTTCGAAAGTGGTTTTGGTGTCACGCTTGTCGCAGTTTCATAAAGGCTTGGCTCTTTGTTGGCAGCATGGAAGGTAACCATTTTCCTTTTATTAGAATTGACGCGTATTTTCTGTGTTTGGCTAATAGTAATGTGCTTCTTTGTGTTCTTCATAGTGTCACAAGAGCCTGAGTTGATGAAAAGCAGATGTTAACATTGTGCCAATTATATAGACACTGGCTTGAAATACGTTGTTTGTAGCAATTCACGAATTATTGCTAAATATGTCATATACTGAGAACTCGAGTTTTGTCACTAGCACAAAGGTACAATCGGTGTCAACGTTCGCCACAGTTCGTATTCTACGAGCCCATTCACATGTAAGCTACTCATATGTTATGAATTAAAGAACTGTTACGGCTATCGCCTCACAAAGCTGGCTTTACAGAAAAGGAAGGACTGTTTGCTAGCCTAGACTTTTCATAGTGTAGAACCATGTTTCAGTGTAGTCGTGTAGAGTCCTGTATTAGTTGCTTACCGAAGTTTCTGCAGTTTTGCCTTCGTTTTAGAGCCTTTAGTTCCTTCGCTGTTCATACTCACTAACCGCTTTTTATTGTCAGGAATGTCGAGCCGCCAATCTGGTTCGATACAGACGTGAAACTCTTCGAGATCCAGCGAATGTAGGCGTCTTCACTTCACTGAGACGGAAGAAGGTACTTGAGCCGGCAGCCAATGACTTGTACATATACCTGATACTGAGAGAAGCATACCTGGCGCTGAAACAGGAGTTTACCTGATAAAGAAGTTTACCCGAGAGAGATACCTGGGCCAGATGTGCTTCGGACAAGGCCGAATGTCTTAGTTATTAAGTGCATCAAGGAGATGCAATGTGTGAGTCCTGTCTGCTGAAATCTTGGATCTCGTGTGTGGCATTCCAGGATTCTGGGGCGAATATATGATGCATCAATATCTAATAGGACGAAGCGGTGGAACGTTGTGGAATGTATATGATTATCTATCTATGTGACGTTGGATCCCGGTTATATGGTTCATAGCTTGAATGTAACCTTGTATGACTTATTACGTGGAGTTCATGTATGAAGGTCTAAGATGACGAATATTAGCCAATACCCTAATTAGCGTGGGAAGAAACCCATATAAAGATGTAGCTTACTGTTGTACCCTACACCCTCAAGCGATAGGTATGCACCTACACAAGGTTAAAGGGAGATAATGAGCTTTCTTGTTTCTTAAATAAAAATTACTCGACATCTATACTATTTCTACTGTAGTTTCTATAAAATATGAAAATTTCCTAGCACATTTTCGTATGTGAAAAAGGTTTTTATTTTTGCAAAAAAGAAGCAGTACTTGCAGTACTTGTAACACCCACCGAAATGCGTTGTCCTTCTCTATAAAAAAGTCGCAGTATATGGCGCTTTTGTTTCAAACAGCGACGCTTGGGTTTTTGTTTATGTTATCGCCTTGTCGTTGCTTGGTTGTAAGGATTCTAATTTGAATTAGAATTAATTCGGTTTAGAATTAATTAGATTCTAATTCGGGGGTACATAGTGCCTACTCTTCTTTGTTTCCAAGTATTATTTTGCGCCACAAATGAACGGCATGCGCCAGAAACGCAGCCAAATCTTGCGATTGCGACTACGAAATTCATTATTTTGGCCTCAGAGCCTGAAGCGAAAAATACAAGCATATTTATTTCAAAAAGACTTCAGGTTTGTCGAACGGTGTTATGAGAATTTTGATAACAGTACTGCATAAGTTTTTCAGTGATGCCGCAAAAGTATTGTATCTATCTTCTTTTATTGTGCAGTCGGCGGGACCGATTCAAAATTGAGTCGTTGCTACTAAAATAGCAGCATATGGCCTCAGATGATGAACAGGAAAAATAGTTGCGTAAATTTAGACATAAACCACCCCCAAACCATGAATATCTTTTGAAGGCACTATAGACGACCATTAACTAACTAGATGTGATGCAGATCAAATGTAAGGAATACGCTCATTTTACAAATTAACATGCAAGTACCAAAAAGTGATGTAAGTACTTATTCAACGGTCATTTTCAGCGCTCCCCGCTAACGTGACTTCAAGTTGAGATATTTGCGGCAAGGTACCGAATTGAGCAAAATGGTTTTAATTTACATTATAACTTGTTGTGTTTTGTCAGAAAATGGTCCTAACTCAGATTTTGTGGAAAAAGGTCATAATCTCCCTTTAAGGGGCTTTGGCTCATGTATTTTATATGTGCACTGTTAAAAATGCCTAGAAATTATAAAGCTAGCAAGTTCGATGGATTATATGAACAGCAGCTTGGGACGAATCTTAGCGTCACGTTGGGGAAAAGCATGCTAGCCGTAGTGTGAGTAGCTTCCATATAAGCCACAGTTATGCACGTATACGATTTTATTAACGGGGATCAGTAGCAAAGTGTGATTTATTTCTCCCACATCGGGCATGCAATCATCACTTGTGTAACATTCTGAAAGGTCCATTATGTTAGCTTAGTTCTTGGTCAGTGTTTTTTTTGCGATTGTTTCCATTTCCTTCTATTTGTGCTGCTATAACCTATCTTTTATCACTATCAGGTCGTTGCCACTATGAAATCGTAAAACTGTTATAGCCATTTTACATTAGTGCTATTATGTTTTATGATTATATGGAAACTTGCTATGGTCGTCGCAAGCGCTGTCATTCCATTTCTTTGAACTCATGTGGTGTTATACCTTTATTGATCTCAAAAGAGGGAACTGTCCGTTTTAGTTCCAGGGTTAAAGTTTCCCGCATTTCTGGTGGAGATGAAAAGTTTTCACAACGTAGAGGTTGTATTGAGCATGGAACATGCAGGGTCATTAGGTGTTGTGCCTCACTTACCTGCTAGATAATTGCATCAGCCGACTTTTCATTTGAAGCAACTGCACTTGATCTCTTTCTTCAGTGACAATAATTTGATTTTCACGATAACACCTTGCTTGGCACTTAATTTGTTTCATGTTTTTTGTCTTCTTCACCCAATTTATGAAACCCAAAGTGTTAAATGTTTATTTTCGCTTGGCTAAGAGTATGTAGGTCTCATGCCCAGTTTCTTTAAGCTCACTTCCATTCACTTGCCCAGTGCTTATCGCGTGATTGTAAATGTTTGTCTACACGTGATTATGAATGTCTTAGTATCTACAGGAATCTAAACACGGTTTATGTCTTGTAGATTGAATATTGTTATTTGATCAGCTAACGCACACAAACTGTTCGTCGTTAAAAACCATCTCTATCGCACTGTATGTAATTATTTCAACGACGAATTTGAATGTGATAAATCGTTGTGAATGTATACCTTGTGTTATGTATGTACAATGTGCTTCTGTGTTCCTTTAACTTTTTATTGTGATGTGTCATGATTATAGGTATCTTCCTTGGCACCTTTCTGGCTATGTGAAATGTGCAATGATAAAGCTTTATTGTGTTGTCATTCGGTGTCGGGTAGGGTAAGAATATAATATATTTTGTCGTACTGTTGTCGAATATTGCGTTTGTCTATATTGAAGCTTGTATTTCCTGGAAAAGGCAGGTCGTCACGTTGTCAAAGTTATTGAAGCGGAAGAAACTGAATGCCTGGATAAGCATCTAAATTAATGGTTATCGCGGTAGATATATTTATACATTTACGCGGATTATTATAACAATCTCACTATAGACAACCACAATGAGACGAGCAAGAACATTATGAGGATATTCACATTAATACTCAACAGGCAACTATCCTCAAATTGGTAACAGTATACTTTCGCACTCAAGGCAAGCATTCGAATCCTGAAAAGAGGACTACCAAGTTCACTCAAGCGTAATGACTCTTTTCAGAATAAGTGACACTGATTCTTACTTCACTCTGACTCCCACAGCTATTAGACGGTCCAAGGTGAAGAGTAAATGACACACGAACAAGTGGACTAATATTTTGTGTATTTTACTGCACTTCAGGGTTTTGTAATTTGTATGTTTTACTTCGGGGAGCTAAAGGAAACTCAAAACGGGCACCAGAGAGCAATAACATGGCAAACGCACGTGACGCTTATTTGGGAGTGCCGTACAGATTCCTCAGATCAGAATAAAACGCGTAGCTATCGAAATTCGGGTCGTTGAAGTTTGGCAAACGTGTCGCAGACGAGGTCACCTGTGCTGAAGAACCAGACTTGGGCCTAGTGGACGCTGAAGATCCAGACTGCCTGAAAGTGTTTCCCCGAACGCTAGTGGGAGGGTTGATCTGAATGAAGGTAGCTTGGGGCCGAGATGACGTTCCCGCATGCCGGAATGTTCCCTGACTTGTGCTAGGTGCGTGGGTTGGGATAAATGCCTGGAAGCTGGTGCTGGGAAAGGCGAACGCCTGTGTGCTGGCCGGCACGGCTTGAGCGAAGTTTGTGTGTGTGTTTTGCGTGAAGGGCACTTGGTGGGTGCTGGATGAGGAGGAAGGGAAGCTACTCTGGAAGTGAGTGGTGGGTCTAGCTGTCGTGGTGAAGGCCGAATGGCTTTGGAACGTGTTTTGGAAAGTGTGTGTCGGTTGGTGACCGAATGATCCTGACGAGTCGGATGCTGGTGCCGCCTGGGCGAACGTTGTAAAGGAGCTGGTGGTGTGTGGCGTGCTTTGTTGAGATGTTTGGTGGCTGGGGGAGGAGGAAGTGTGGAAATTGCTTGAAGGTTGAGTGTGACTGAAGGAGTTCGAGTGACCAAACGATCCTTGGTTCGAAGGAGTTTGGCTAAAGGAATTGTGAAAGCTGCTAGAAGGTGCACTCTGTCCAAATGATCCATGACTTGAAGCAGTTGTGTGGGTGAACGGCCTCTGCGTTGTAGTGGTGAAGCTGTTCTGCGGGAAGAACGACTGAGAGTTTGATGACGGCACCTGGCCGCCGGATGAGCTGCCCTGGAAGCTGCTGTCGAACGGTCCGTCGTGGCGGAACGGGAAGACGTTGGCGGAATCCTGCGAGCCTTGCGATCCTCCAGAGGTAGGCGACGATCCCGAAGGACTTCCTCTTGAGAATGAGGTGGGGCCCGCGCTGCTTCCTGTGGTTCCACTCTGGGCGGAAGGCTGGAAACCCTTGCCGAATGTATTCGTGCCAACGTTGTTCGTAGGATTGGCTGCGTCGGCAGTTGATCCTCCGGTGGAGTCTCTGGCGATGATCCTTTGGGTTGCAGGACTCGCTGAGCTTGCGTCTCTGTGGGCGTCAACAGTCTCCCGGAAGAGAACTTCGTCGGGGACGAAGGCTCCCACCTTGGCCGGAGAAACTACCGGGGTGACTCCGTGGAACTCATTCTCCACTATGTTGAGATCGGGATTGTCCAGCGGCAGTACGTCCAGGTTCAGTGCGTTCTCCACCTGCCTGGCCAGCTGTGGCTCCAGCGGGATGAGTGAGTCCGGTCCCGGAGCTGGCTGGTCGAGGTTGCTTGAGCCCTTGCCGGGCTGTCGGTCTCCCCCACCGAGTCCTGCCAGGCCGAGTAAGCCCGCGCCGATGTCCGGGAAATCACCCGGAAGGTCGATGGTAATTTTCCGGCCCGGTGAGCCGAACCCGGACTGCGAGCTGGCGCCGGTGCCAGGCTCCGACGACCCGGTACCGGGCGCCGTATGCTGGAACTCGTACGTATGGAACGTTTGCCACGTAGAGGTCGTGCTGCGTGACGTTCCTCCGGTAGGCGCCTCGGCGCCCTCAGCAGGTTCGAAGAACTTGAGGAACTCAGGAGGGATCATACCATCAGGCGACTCGAAGGTGAATGTGAACTCTGGTTCGGTGAAAGGTGCGCCGCCCGCGGCGCTAGGTCCTGTCGCATCCGACGAAGGAGGGGGCAGGTAGCCATTGGAGGGACGGTGGACCGACTCGGCCTCCGGACCCTGCGCCCCGTTGGCATCTGCTGGGGGCAGGTACCCACTGTATGGACGAGGCGTGCTGGTCGCATCCCGCGCCTGAGCCTCTGTCGGCGGCCCAGCCGTCGGCCGATCTCTTGACTTCAGTGCCGCGATGGCAGGACCCGGCAGACGCGCCGCAGGTTTAGCTGCCTTCGCCAGAAGACCAATGGCATCCGGCCGTGGGCCAAAAACTGGTTCTGCGACGATCACTTCCGCTTCAGCTGCGGGGACCACTTCAGCTGCCGCATCCACTATAGGCAGAACTTCAATCGTCTCAGAAACAGGGCCAAGCTCAACCACCTCTTCCACCACCGGAGCAGCTTCGGCAGCTGCTTCTGCCGGCGGCAGCTCTCCGCTAGGAGCAGAGAAGACGGGAGCTTCAGTCGCCCTGTTCTTCTCGATGGTCTCGCGTAAGAACTTGAGGAAGGCGGGTATCTGCTCCTGCGGTATGTTTGGCAGCTGAATGGGTGGCGTGGGGTTGTGCTGAGGGGCCGCCAGCGACCCCCTGACCAGCAGCAGACAGAGAAGATACAGTGCTGACCACTGTGAAAAAGAAAAGTGGGAGGGTCAGTGGAAATATCCATTTAAAGTAGCGTTGACAGGTGAAATTACGACTTACGAGAGCTTGTTTGTATACGATTGTTCGAATGTTCAAAAACATACGAAGGGTCAAAAACTGACGCACCGCGTAGTTGTAAAGCAGTTTTAGCTGATATTGAAAGAAACATGTAACAGAATATGCATACGTTTGGCGTCTCCAATACCTATAAATTTATCCATGCTGCTGTACTTAAGAGATCTCTAACAGTAAAATTAACGGCGTCTTTGTTTTCCCCGCGAGTGTACAGCCCTGTAAGCCATACATTTGTAAAAATTCTACCGCTTCCACCAGATTTCCTGCGCTGCTGTTCGATGCTACATTGATGTGACCTTCACATGGCTCAGTTAGTCGCTGACACACACAGGAAACGAAGCCGTCTCTTCAACTTTGTCACAATATTTCCTCATGGGGATTTTCATAAGGAGATTATCGGTGTCATTGCTCAGCTGATCCGTCATTTGGAGGGATCAGCTTTGGCGAACAATGAATGCAGGCGTAGATAGCATGATTCATGTTATCTATGGTTAAGGCTATTGACTTTTGCGTCATTGATGTGATTGTGATTGATTTGGTGTCATATTTCAGTATCATATTTCACGTTTGCTTTAGACTTTTGTGTGAGATTTCTTGTGGAATCGAAGTCCTACATGTTCCGGTTTGCGTCAGTTCCCTAAGTAAATTCATACGGTAAATGCATCCTAGATCGCCCCTGCCAGCTAAAATTGAACATTAAATCACAGTGTCTCATAAGCAGATATATAAAAACATTCGAAACGCGCCTAACAATAAATGTAGCAACATATGAATAATTGCAATCACTGATCATGTGTTGGATGGTGATGGATTTGCCGGCGGACACCGAAAATGATATCAATTTTCTGCCTGTTTTTAATTTGACCGTTTTTCACTAATTTTGACTTATTTTGAGCTCTTGATTGAGCCGGAATTCCTTTGACAAACTAGCCGCACATTGAATTAATTGGACACTGTTTTGCATTTACCATTTGCGAAAACCTAAGGCGTAAAATGCTCCATGCACGGATGAGGAAAGTGTGTCCGCCGTTTATGGGCGGCTGCGGTGCTCTCCCAATATGGCGGACAGTACCTGCGGTGATTTTTCTTCTCTGACAATTGTCCCTCATGCACACCCGATGGTCTCTCTGAATGAACAATGGCGGAAATTGTTTCATGCTAATGAGGAAAGATGTGTTGGCCATATATGAATATCTCAAATAAAAGTGCGTTTTTATGTCATTTGATAACTGTTGAAGGAATGAGTCATGCTATTCGACGAAGTGTTGTTGTGAGATGATCATAATTGCCTGTTATTGAGGGTTTATGCTAATGCTCATAGGAGTATCTCATTCTAAAGTGAACGTATTTTTTTCTGTGTTTTGCCATAGCCGTTGCTGAGTACAGCTGCGACAAAAAAAAATTCAACGCTTAGCGGCAATAAATTGATGCCCCATCATGCGTAATTAAGTCACAGAGATTGAGTCAAAAAGAGTCAACTGTTCGGTTCAATGTTCATTGTCCATTGCGCTGTATTGAATGTGATGTTAGATTGCCTGGTAATGTGACGTTAGATTGGTCTTTTTATCATGTTCTGAAGTAAATAGAAATAATTGGAAAAACCTGTCGCAAAATTTGGCATGCTTGCTATTCAGATGCAATGCAATTTCTTTAGTGGGATTGATGCTTCAACAAACGCACTGCCGTGTAAATGAGCATTCCTTTGATACGGTTGGCCTGGCATGATGATAAGACGCTAATAATTGAACGAAGAAAAGAATTGCCGAATGTTCTTCGGCCGACCACAAGCTCGATATGGAACAGGCTATAGTCGGAAGGTTCCAAACAAATATAGGGTCTGTTCTGGCGGAAGCCCAAATCTCTCAGTAGTTAGGTACACTAACTGTAGAAAAGAGCTCTTCTGCTGCTATACCAGTTCTGTGCCACTGTCTTCAGTCACGTTTCTAACCCGCTTCAATCGCATTGCACGCTTACAAAAGAGGTACTTGATTTCAA